TGTGATTGAAATGAGTTTTCTGTAACTGTCTAGCCGCCCAAGGATACCAAGCAGAAGAAAGATGCGGGCAAGTCCAAAAAGGACAAGGATCCCGTTAACAAATCCGGAGGCAAAGCGAAGAAGAAGGTAAATATTAAGAGTTATAAGTATTTTACGTCACTTAAGAGACCTGTCAATCATCAACTGTGGTTTTATGCTGTAATTGCATGCATGGATTGTAATTTTCCATGTATTTGGTCTTGAGTAGAAGTGGTCCAAAGGAAAGGTGAGGGACAAGCTGAACAACCTGGTCCTCTTTGACAAGGCCACATATGATAAACTGTACAAAGAAGTTCCCAACTACAAGCTCATCACACCCGCTGTGGTCTCTGAGAGGCTGAAGATCAGGGGCTCGCTGGCCAGGGCTGCCCTGCAGGAGCTGCTTAACAAAGGTGATCATCTGATGCTCTAACAGTGAATATGAGTGATTCTGAACTCTTCATGTTCATGTACTACCTGTACATCACATATGGCAGGGCTTCCGGAAACTTTTTTTTTTTTAGGTTAACTCATTCAGAGATGTCTTGAGTTTTATTTTGAATCCATGATGGAGTGGCATTTTGCGTTTCTCATCGTTAGGTCTGATCAAGCTGGTGTCCAAACACAGAGCTCAAGTGATCTACACCAGAAACACCAAGGGCACAGATGAGGCAGCTCCAGAGAAGGAGGCATAACATGGTGATTATCAACTCATAACAGCTCATTTTCAAATTTGATGTCTTTTGTCAGCTAATGTTGTTTCGTCTACTGGTCTCCTGTATTGAATGTTTATTCATCTCTTTTTCAGATCCCACCATGGCTTGAGTTATGGTCTTTTGTATAGGTAAATAAACAACCACAAAATGAAACTTGTGTTTGTGCATTTCTTCAACAAAGTGAATGTGTACCTACCTATGTTGTGTTTGTACTCATTACACAATTGAGAATGTATATTGTGGTTTATGACAGTAGGTTGAAACCTTTAGAAACCAAGCTTAATTTCTCACAATTAATACATATACCAGATCATAATCTTTAGCATACTGCTTTTCTCTGAGCTTTTCAAAGATAAAATTGGTTATGGTGTTTTATTAAAATTGTAATTTTAGACAAGCAGGCCATTTTCAGATTGTATAATCTATACATATTTGCCATAACTTGAACATCTTTCATCTGTATGCTTGTGTAATTTTGTTTAATTAAGTAAAAATAAGGGACAGGGTATGTTTTAAAGCAAGATTATCTTTGCAAAAATATCACTTCGATTAACCTCTTCAAATCAGCACCTACTATCAGAGAAGTTCAGTGTGCTGAAGTTGTTTTCAGCACAATGTACTAAATGTGAAGCTGAGGCACAATAGACAGAAGTAACACAAATATTTTCATGTTGTCTCTTCACATTTTAATTAGGCTTAAAGGCAGCAAGACATTAGGAAAGAGTGAGGTTATACCCGGTGTATGAGACCGAACAAATAACAAGGATCTTTCGTTTCATCTACTAAGCTGGGGATTTGCATCAAGGTCTAACACTAGTGCATCAACAAAGTTTTCAATGGTAGGGGTTTTCTGTAGCATTCCCGAGGATCAAAAATAAGAATCTGAATATTTACCGTTATTGAGGTCTTACAGAAAATTTTATTACAAGTGTTGCTTTTACCTTTGACCATCAGCATAGGCTCTTTACTGCCTCCATGAGCGAGCATCTCTGCGGTAACGCTCTCCCATCGCTCTGCAAATGACACAGTCTCCTTTTTAATTAGACCAGACATACAGTACAACTACAGATATTTTATGTTTTGAAAGTGAACAGACTATAAAATAGAAAATATTTTACACTTATTAAATGTAAATCGAACAAAAATAAAAAAAACAAGAATTCCCAGTCACCATGAGTACCATTATCTGTGCACTCAGCATCCATGACAAAATAGCAAAACATGCATGACAAAGCTGTCCTACATGGTCAGGAGTTGGAGTTGAAAACTCCACACTGACCTGCTGAAGGGGTCCTGTAGAAAGCACTGCCTCCACACCATCGAGGCAACCGCCCTGGACATGAGGTAGGAGTAATATTTAGCACCATAGCCAACCAGGTGACTAAATCTCAGCTGCCAAGCCTACGTCATCAGAGAATATAGAAGATAAACATTTTATTTTTAACATGGGTCAAAAAAAAAAGTATTAATTAAACAAATTGAGCAGAATCTGAAATGCATCTGTGATGTTGCCACTCACTGTGTCATTAACATATGGTAACCCATAAAATTTCTCCTGTATTTCTAGGATGTCAGTGCTTGATCTGTATTGTGGTATTCCATGATAAACCTGGTCCAAAGCTGCATAGAAAATCTGTAAAGAGAAGCATTGCACAAAAAAGAAAACAATCACTAGTAGACTTGACATATAAAGTCTACTACGTCATATTTGTTACGTACATTTTAAGGCCTCTAAATTATCAACATGGTCAAAACTTTACTGAAAAACCTGTATCTACTACATGCCTTCTTTCGTCTGATTTATAGTTCATACTTTATAAGTAACAGGCCTTTTAGTATAGTTTACAGGTCATGGCTCATGAGTCTTTTTGCTGTGAATTCTTTACTGAATCTTATAAATTTAATATTGCTAGTAATATTTTAAGATGAACATTAACTGGACTGAAGCAACTTGGGTATAAATTACAACTTAGGTATATATGATTACCCATTAACTATTTGTTTTTCTTCAGAAAATCACGTTAAAATATAAGTATCAAATAAGAGACTTGAAACTTGACATTTGTTCTTCTCTCAATCATCACTGTATTGCACTGCATTGTATGTTTTGTTCCCCACAATAAAAATCTACTTATCTTTGATCATGAACTAAGCTTTTAAATATACTAAGACACGTTATTGGAAAATATTTAGTGATAATGATATATGTAATTTATGCAAGTAGCCTGCTATTATAAATTCTCATTCATTTACATTACAAGCTATCAGAATTTCATATTTATTTTTGGCCATATAAATATCAGCAACTGCACCAAATTGCATGTTTCTGCTCAGTTTGGGCTTGTAAATAAAATGTAGATGTTTTTTTTTTCATCCTTGAGTGTCCCATATCATACTATATGAGCTATAAAAGCCTGATGTATCTACTCAACTATAGTTTACATCCCACAATTACTCCTGACTCATTAAAGCTGACTTTGTTCATATCAGCACTATAATTCTCCATCACAGATATGTGTTTTAGTACCTGTAGCTGAGTGTCAGCAGCACTACAAACCCTCTTAAGACTCACATAAACGGGACACTAGGCTCTCTGGAAGAGGCTAGAGAGAACAAAAGACAGCCATTACATCGACATGCAGTTCTTCTAATGGTGTTTCAGGTACACAGACAATCTCTGAAGCAGGTATGTGCACAAACTCACCTCGCCAGTCTGATAATGTCTTGCAAACTGGCTCACAACTCGATAATCTGAGGCAAAATACTCCATCAGAATAGAAGGAACTTCAGCAAAGTCTGTGGAGCACCTGGTTCCTGTACAGATACATACATTAAATTCAGCTATTTGTCATGTAAATTCAATTTATGTGTAAACACCAAATAACCCTGAATATAACTCGGAGCTGTGACATGCTGATAGCGTGTCCTGCCTAACATGGAGTGCATGGAATGTCCCATCTCATGGAAAGGGGGTAAGCAGAGATGGGGTTTTGCCGCTGGGTGGAGGTAAACTCAGCATCAGCACTACAACAGGCAGCTGGTAAACGCCATCTTCCCTCAGCCACCCACCGCGGATGGTGACGTGACAGTCCTGCCATATATGGAAATAGTCTGTTTAGAGATACTAATAAAGCAATATATTTTTTTAATTTTTCCAAAATATATAAATAAACATTTAAAACTATATATGTGCACACACTACCCTTCAATGTTTGAAAGAAGTATCTTAAATATGGACGCCCATTTCTGATATAGAATTTTTTTTTTTTTTAAGTGACTTTTTATCTCACAATTCGGACTTTATATCTTGCAATTCCAATAAAAAAGTCAGAATGGTGAGAAATATACTCAGAACTGCGAGACATAAACTTGCAGATATAAAGATATAAACTTGCAATTCAGAGGTCAAAAGGAGAACAGTGACATAAAAAGTCGCAATTACCTTTTTTATTTTTTCAACAGAACCACATGAAAGACATGAATGTGTTTATTCAGCAAGGATGCATTCAACTGATCAAAAGTGACAGTAAAGATTTGAACATTTTCAAAACTTTCTATTTTAAATAAATGCTGTTCTTTTGATCTTTCTACTGTATTCATCAAAGAATTGAAAAATATATGCCTGTTGTATATATAATGTGTATGTAGCTGCACAACTGTTTTCAACATTGATAAGAAGAAAAAATGTTTCTTGAGCAGCAAATCAGCATATTAGAATGATTTCTGAAGGATCATGTGACACTGAAGACTGCTGAATTTTAGCTCTAACATTACAGGTACAAATTACCTGATAAAATATTTTAAAACAGAAAAACTGTAATGATATTTTACTTTATTTTTGATCAAATAAATGCAGCCTTTGTGAGCATAAGAGACTTCTTTCAAAAGCATTGACTTACCGATTCCAAAGTTTTAATCTCATACAAACACAGTTTTGAGTCACAATTACCTTTTTTATTTTTTATTCTTGGCACGGAAAAAACTGTGAGAACAAAAGTCAGAGTTCTGAGTTAAATTATGACTTTTTTTTTATATCTGCAAGTTTATGTCTCACAATTCTGCAATTATTTTCTCGGAATTGCAAGTTGTAAAGTCTGAATTGCAAGAAAAAGTAGTCAGAATTAAGATAAAAAGTCACAATTTCCTTTTTTTATTCCGTCGCAGGAACAGGCTTCCATACTTATAAATATATACAGTAATATTGTGAAATATTATTGCAATTTAAAATAACTGTTTCCTATAATATATTTTACAATGTAATTTATTCCTGTGATGCATCAGCAGCCATTACTTCACTCTTCAGTGTCACATGATCCTTCAGAAATCTTTCTAATATGCTGACTTGCCACTGAAAAAATGTTTCTTGTTATTGTATCACTGTTGAAAACAGTTGTTTCTTAATATTTTTTGTGGAAACTGTTATAGAAAGGTCGAAAGAACAGCATTTATTTAAATTAGAAATGTCTTTACTGTCACTTTTGATTAATTTAATGCATCTTTACTGAACACAACTATTAATTTCTGTCCCCAAACTTTTGAATGGCATTTGTCATATATGTGTGAATAGAATATGTGTGTACAGAATCAGTCAAGAGCAGACAGCTGTACCTGGTGAGGTTTATCAGGTCTGCGGAATAAATCACAGTAGATATATCCCAGCAGTCCCTCTGTTTCATGGACCACAGCCTGTTGGCAGCACTAAAAACAGTAAATACAGCTGCCCATCTGCATTAATACATCTGTGAGTGATCGACAGACAGTTGATCTTGAAAACTGAGCAAACAAAGATGGAGGAGAGAATCTCACAAGCTTTTGGACATCTTCGCACCACAGTTCGCCCATCTTCGGCTGCTCTGCTTGAAAAGAAACGCCCAGAATCTGCATGAAGAGACGGTTGAGTCCCTCCATACAAGCACCCAGAAGTACAGGCTGTAGACGCTGGGATCAATGTTAAACCTACAAGTACATGAATGTGTATGAGGATAAACAGGAAGTAGATGGTAGGGTTGGGCCGATAGACAATGCCATCGTCCATCGGACAGTTATCATTTCGTGCCGCACCGTGCCGCATCAGCTAAAGTCTGTCTACACTGGACGCGACAAAGCGACTGTTGAAAATCATCTGAAATTTGTGTCAGCACGTCATAAATACAATGTGGCAGCAGTTTACTGTCTGGGATTTGTCGTGTCGCACTGCGCCACATCCAGTGTAGACAGCATCACTGATTATAATAAGTTCTATACACTGATCTATATATAATGAATCTCTATTATAGATCAGTGGTTCTATAGTATTTTGCCGCACCGCTCGCGTCCGGTGTAGACACGGTGTTAGGAATCGTT